TGCAAACTAGGCTCAATTTATAAATTGAAGTTGCAATTTGTCAAAAAAAACTTACAAGTGTTCTCAGTTGGTCCGAAATTGTTCCCAAAAAGGGCCATTTGTTTCAGTTTAATTAAAGTCCTACGGAATTTCTATTTGTTTGCGTTGCTTTAATTTATTCTTCCATCAAGTACAATTATCGGGAAAAATGTTCAAAACTAAATCTTGAAAGATTCCACGTTTCAAAAAGTTGTGAAGCAAATGCGGGTAAAAAAGCGGCGCTTATTGACAAATAATGAAAATTCCTTGTCTCATATCCGCAACAAAGAATGGTTGGGCACCTCGTTTCTCACCATCCCGTAGATAAATTTCAGTACTAACTGCAAAGTGGGTACCATTGCATGAAAATGGCTACTTAATATCTAAAACTCATGTGCTTTCAGGTGGTCCAAAAATGATCCCAAATTACCATTTTTCGTTGTTTGCTTCGCGTTTTTTATGAGGTAAAAAAGTGTACACTTTATTTTATAAGGCTGAATTTGAAGAGATTCCAAGTTTTAAGAATAAGTTATTAAACAAATACGGGTAAGAAACTGCAACTTTCGTTTTAGACTTAACACCATTTCCTTGATGTTTCGTAACCTTAACCCCAACTTTTGGTGAATTAGCCCTCATTTTGATATTCTGTGCCATTTTCGCCATAACACCAACTTTTTGTGAATCAGCCCTATATTTAGGTTTTGTAGACTTTTTCATCGGTCCTAAATTTTTTTCTAGGATCAAATCTATGGCACTTGATGCCACAAAATTGCAATGAACCTACCCCTGCTAAATGGCACGTTTTTAATATAAAAAGTCGCCGTGAAGCAGTACCCTTATTTTCATAAAATGAAAAAATTTTCTACTATGCTTACATGCCAGTTTTCCCCAGCTTTTTGCTAAGCATTGCGTACTACAGGACGTAACCAGCAGTCAGTTGGAAAAGAGTCAATAAACGCAAGAAAACAGAAGTACTATTTTGATTTTTCAAGAAAAAATAGATGTTCTTCAAGACCTTTGAATTTCTAGAACAATTTATGATCGACAATTTTTTGATGAATTAAACCCAATTACAGAAAACTAGATCAGGTGGTAAAAATTTTATATTGCTGGAAAATCTGATAATTAAATTCCGTTTTGAAATAGGAAGTCGATAACATTTTTCGAGACCAAAACATTTTCGCTGTTCGATAGTGGAGTTTGCCTTCCTTTAAACAAAGGAAATTAATGAACTTACAAAAAAAAATCAACGACTCTGAGTAGCCTGGGCGGTAATGTTGTATCTTCACTGAATCAAGTGAATTCACGCAATGAAAAAATGCTGCAATTTGTTTTCAAAACAGTGGAAACATCTATTTCGAGAATAAACTAAGTGAGTGAAATAATTATAATTTTAAACATAGCCACACATAGACAAACACTAGCGAGAACACGACAAAAAGCAGCTCTATAAAGTGCAATGATAAGAAATAGAAATGAGCCTCGAATTAGTAAAAATTCGGCTACGCCTCGCATTCGATCTGCGACCTAGAGATTATGAGTGCCACACGCAATCCACTCAGCCACGCACACTTAATACGACCGAAACAGTAGCCGCGAATGAAGCACAAAACATATGCTAAGAAAATCGCAATGCGAGATCGTAATTATAGCAAAAGTGCCATCAAATAAATGAACATTTTCCACTTTCAACACAGGCGAAGCGGAGCTTCGCGCCATTTGCGATACAACATAATCATTAAAAAAAAATTTTAAAATGATAAATGTTGAAATCAAATAGGTGAACAAACTTTTTCGTATAACTCGATAACAGCACCTAGAGCAGAGCTAAAGCTGCATGAATTATGTTGATATTTTTTTATGTTATACTGATGCGGTAAGAAATGCGTACCTTCAAAAATTGGTTTTCGGCAAAACCTTAGTTGTTTCTATTAATCAAATGAGAAGAGTGAAAAACTAAAATTTTGGAATTTTCCCATAGACAGAAAGATTCTCTTCAAAAAAACATAGCCAACTGACAGTTGGAAAAGAGTAATGAGCGCAATGAAACTGAAACAAGAACAACTTGTTTTTTTTTCAAAAATCTTCAAATTTTGAATTTCGAAGAAAAAAAATAGATGGCCTTAAAGCTCTTCGAATTTATAGAACAATTTATGATGGACACTTTTTTGTTTAAATAAACCCAATTTGAGAAAACTGGATCAATAGGAAAAACTTTTATTTCACTAGGATATTTCACGTGATCGAAATTAGAAGTCGATCACGTTTTGTGTGACCTTTAAATTTTTGCTGTTCGACATTGGATTTTGCCTTCCTTTCAACAATGGAAATGCACAGAACTTTCACGAGTCAAACCGCGAAAAATCAAAATTGAGCGTGAACAAACTTTGGAGTTTTTCCTGAAAAAAAAAACAAATAAAAATCAGCAATACCTATATATGAGTCCTCACTTCGTTCATTACTCTTTAAAAAAGTAGCCGCTTCTGCAGGACAATTTCGCGCAACCACTTCTTTCGATTGAACTGTTCATCTCACATTTAATTGGGTAGTTCTACTCAACGGTCGAAGTTTCAAAAGTTGATTTTCCAAAATTCTTAACTTTTTTGTTAAAATCAGGTCGTGGCCGATTGAGTAGAGAAAATCTCAAAATCGGGTTTCTCGAGTGAAAATTTAAACTAAGAACTGGCAGTATAATTTTCGAGTAAAGTCACAAAACTTCCAAAAACGGTTGAAGTTTCAAAATTTTCACTTGTTTGAAGGCCCTAACTTTTTTTAACAAAAAACTGGGCGTAGCAATTTACAAAAGTAAGCTTCCAACAACCTGTTGTGTCGACTAAACCTATGATATGAGATTTGGCTAGATAGTTACAGAAAAGTCCAAAAAACGGTCAACAAATCAGATAGTTGACATTTCCGAGAATCATAGCTTTTTGTCTAAGAAAATTAAAATTTACGCGTAGCCGTTTATGCAGAACAGATTCGCCCAACTTGTGATTTCGATTGAATAGAAAAAACAGGTTTCGCAGTAGTTCTTGAGAAACGTCAAAAAGTTCCAAAATAACGGTAAAAAAACTGATTTTTCCGATAATCGACTTAAAGTAAATTGGGCTTAGAGCTTTGCACAACCCGTTCTCTGGATTGAATTCAACGTATCAGACATGGGAGAGTACTTTTTTCGTCAACTTGATAAACAATATGAAAAAAAAAATGAAAAAATTGACTTTTCCGAGAACGATAACTTTTTGTACAATAAACAATTATGAGAGTCCGCTAATGCAGGAAAGCTTCCCACTATCCCTTATCTCTACTCAACCCACGCCTCAGATTTGGGAGGTTAGTTTTCGAGAAAAGTAAAACACAATTTAAAAAAAGAACAGTAAAAAAAATCAAAAATTTCACAACTCCGAGGATCATAATTTGATGTGTTAAAAATAATTGGGCAGAGCCGCTTTTGGATGGGAGCTTTCATAGACTGCTCTATTCATCGAAATAAAAACCTCCGATTTGGTAGTTGTTTTTGGGAAAACGAAAAAATAAATAAATAAAAATATCGGTCAAATTTCCTCCCTACAGACTTTATTGAAGGCTGTAGACAAAGTGGTAAAGCAAAGAGCGACCAGAGAAGTATGCAGGCACACAAGGGTGTAGACGGTCTTTCCATGGATACCTCTTTAGAAAATCGCCCAAAGGGTTTAATGAAAAACAACTGAATGGGATTTTCTAAAGCGTCTCAAAAAAATAATGAAAAACCCAGTCACAAACATTTTCATAATACCTGTTTTTGTCGAACAGAAACTCAGGGCAAACATGTCAAGCAGGACATCTCAAATTCAAATTAGAAATTGAACAATTTTAGGAAGCGGAAACAAGGCCGACAATCTTTGAGCAGACACCAATTAAGCCGAAAAATATCTGATTTTGTAAAAAAAACTTTCAAAATTTCACGTCCCCATGAAACTACCCTTTAGTAGCACCACCCATCCAGTAGTTGATAGTTACTTAGAACTCATCCAGCTAGTAACCACTCAAAAGCGATTCAATTTAATTAATTTTGTTTAACTTGTTAACCCGAAAAAAAAACGTCTATATTCCGATTTGATAATGCTTACTAATCGCAGGCGTAATGAGAACTTTTATTTGCTAGTTAGGTTTAAAAAAAAGATATTCGTACTAATACACTAGCTGCTCTCTAGTTCTAGTTTCAACAGACAATTAGAAAAGAGTCAATGAACGCAGTTCAGAGGCAAATCTTTCGAATCGCAAAGAAAAAAATAGATGCCTTTAAAGTTCTTCGAATTTCTAGAACAATTTATGAATCAAACTTTTTTGATTTATTAACTCAATTTGAGAAAACTGGATCAAAAGTTAGAATGTTTATTTCGCTGGGAAACTCGATAAATAAACTCCACTTTCAAAACCAGATGTCGATCACGTTTTTCAATACATTACGCTTTCGCTGTTCGAAATCAAAGTCAAACCGCGAAAAAAATAAATTGAGCCTGAACAAATTTTAAGACTTGTTAAAAAAAAAATCATAGCGACCTATATAAGAGTCTGAACTACGTTCATCGGCTTTTAATTAGCAAGGAACTATCAGAAACAAATTCACGACCGTCTGCCAATTCAAAAAACTCAAAAAAAAATCCATATTGAAAAAACAAGGTCCCGTCAGGATTCGATTTGTTTAGAATCTAAAAGCACGCGCTGTACTACAAGAAAAAGTATGAATGAGCCTGGAAGCTGTCGAGGTTCCATAATGCAGGGGGTCATTTTTTACAGATTTGTGGTAAGTTTTTTACGGCGAAAAAGTCAAGTCCCCTTCATGGAACACAGTTAAAAAACACAGATTAAGAGCTTAAAAAATTCTCTCACCGCAAAATATTTTAAAAAAAGAAAGTCGTCCGCTCATTCGAATTTTCAAATTTAAGACATAGCACGAGCTGAACGATGACGTTGTTATAATTAGTCTAATAATTCTTTTATCTGCCATGGCTTTTAGGGGTAAACTTACTTCTATGGTAGCATAGAAAATTACAAAAAAAATAATTTATTAAAACATTTCATAGAAATGATTAGCTCGAGAAACTTCGTAACGGTATTAAGAAGCAGTTTTCATTTTAACTTAGTTAAATCATTCTCAATATACAAAAATTGGCCGTGAAACTCACCAAAAAATTGTTCTAAAACACGACTAAGACTTTGAGCTGCCAATGTCAATTGATCCTAGAATACTGCCGACTTCCGTCACGACATGAAGCATAGATATAATTGCTGTGTTCGCTTCTGTGATTTTGGCCGATTTGCGAAGCGTTTCTATATCACCTTCCAAATTGGTCACCTTCTCCGTGAACTTCCGACGTGTAAACACTTTGAGGTCGACCATACTGTAGTTCTTGCAACACTCGTGAAACCGTTGCAGCTTAGCACACAAAACTGATAGCTCATTTGAGTTCAACTCGTCCCACTTCACTGCAATTTTGAGACTCTTCTCAATGTCTTTTCGTATATTTAGCAAGGTTTCGAGGTCAACGTCCGCAAAAATTTCGGTTTCAGTCGCTGAGAGGGTAGCAATTTGAGGTCTTCTAACTGACTGACGTAGAGACACTCCAGATTTTATTTCGGCCACGGGATCCGTAGCCGTTGAAAGATCTGGTTTGGATCCTGTTAAAGGCTGGTTGTCCATAGCTAGTGTTTGAGGTTTCTTAAGATTCGAGGCCTTCAGAGATCCTTCATCTATTGTCGATTTAGAGTGACCATGTTTGATATTCGATTTCTGTAAACTCTGAGAAGATTGAGGAGCTTCTTGTGATTTCATCGCTTTTTTGAACGCTGAGGGTTTAATAAGATTATCGCTTCTTCTTTCAGGAGACGACCCAGAACCTTTTCTTGTTTTCTGCTTCGATTCTGATGGTTTCGGTGGTATAGATGGAACCTTGTCTTGATGCGGCAATAAAGGAGGTGGCGAAATCAAATCATCATTAAGATTCGGAACCTTACTTTTCGATTTCGAACTGTGTGACTTGACTGCTGGCAATGGCGTTGAAGTAGCCGAGGTGGGCGACATCTTATTTTCAGGAACTTCCGGATGGGGTTGTTTGGATATCGACGGTTTAGGAGGCGGACAAACTACAAACTTGCGCTGTCCGTTAGGTGATTCCTTGTTAACTGCACTTGAAACTGAGGGTTGGTTATTGGATGCCAAACTATTCTGACCGGGTGCTTTGCTAACTGATCGTTCTCCCACTGGGGGCGGAGCTGGTTTTGGTTTAGGTATGGGGACTGGAATTGAGTCCTTGGAAGGAGAGGTCACTTTAACTGGCGAGTGGGGCGGTTGACCGGCAACTGTTGTTTTCGATGATGGAAGTTCGGGTACAGATGGTATCGATGCTCTCCACATTGCATCACCTCCAGCTGCTGAACCTACTCCCGCAAGTCCCACAGAAGCAGCCGGTGACTTAGAAAAAGTAGAAACTGGTTTTGCCATCGGCACAATTTCTGACGAGGTGAAGCCATGTTGCGCAGGAGGTACCTTTACAGATAATGGTTTGTTCGGAGAAACTTGGCTCTGAATTGCTTGAGAGTTTATGGGAGGAGCGATATTAGTCGTTCCAGAAGATCCGAACGTTGAAAACGTAGATGATCCCTGTGGCTGATTACCCGCGCCAAAAGATGACGCTGTGCTCGACTTTGAAGAGCCGGCTCCAGTGGGAGGATTCAACATATTATCTCTAGAGGAATGGACTCTCGGATTCGGGGATGGTTTACTCTTATGCCCGTAATCTGGGTTGTTACTGATGTCCGCGTTCGAGGATGCTTTCTGCAAGAGACCACTTGGTTTCCAGAGCTGGTTCGGATCCATTACTTCGTCTTCGGAGTCCGAACTCTGGTTGTGGTGATATACAGACATTGTCTTCATAGATCTGATTTCGGAACTTGTTGTCGCGGTTGCATTTGAGTCTACATTAGTACTGCTTTGAGACTGGCCTAACTCGTCGCTTGTAGATGGTCTCTTGAATGTTGAAAGCGAATCCGATGAGGTGGGAGATGTTTGACTGCCTGCAAGTTGTTTGTTAAGTAAGTGCTGTCGGCCAACCAGGGGCGATGAACCACTTCCATCTACAAATAAACTAGAATTAGTATCACCTAATCTACAAATAAACTAGAATTAGTATCACCTAACACACAAAACTTCAACGCACAATAGCCGATGACTTAGAACTTTAAGAAACCGTTCATCGGAAAGCAGGAAAATTTCTGACCTGTATCAATTGCAAGAGTCTTCAAATTCGACGAATCCGAATGTACATTGCCAGCAGTAGTGAAAGACGGTGACTCTTTGATCTGAAAAGAAGATGTTCTCATTGGAGGAGCAGGGGCATTCTTCTTTGAAAACAGAGCATGTCTCAGCCGGGCATTGCTATCCGTATCACTATCTGGAGTGCTTCCTGATAACTGTTGGCCAAAATGGCCTCCTCCAATCCCCGAGTCAGAATCAGTACCCGCGTTATATCCACCGGCTCCCCCTGACACTGATCTTCTGCCAATATGGTCCAGGGTTCCTTCAGGAGAATCCAGATCTGGTGTGTGGGATCCACAGCTAATACCTCCTAAAGGCAACATAATTTATCGATACTAATCTCTGCTAGAAGCGACACATTCAAATTCATATCATTTCAGTGTCTCTTCAGAAAAGATGAGTGTCTAAGTATGGAAAATTTTGGTAACAATGAATTTTTATCATATAGAGAAACATCTCCATTTCTAAACTCTTCGTTGAGGCGCTTATTTACCTTCAAAACTGTCGTCGCTTATTGCACCAGAAGATATATCTACGTTCGACATTGTAGAATTGCCAGTAGCAGAAGGTCCAGGTTGATCCAGTGTCCTCTCAGGGCTCTGTGAACTCCCAGAAGAAGCGGAGCTCAGCTGCCCGTCCAGTTCCTGCCTTACCTCGTCCAGAAGAGACGCCAGTTGGAAGTTGATCTCTGCGAACGATGGTCTATCTCTCGGCAACCATTGCCAGCACTTTCGCATCATTGTGTAAAGGGAGTTGGGACATTCAGGGGGCTGACTGAGTCGACTGCCTTGTTGGAGATACTCGTAGAGACCACACAATTCCACGCCAGGGTAGGGAGACATGCCTCCAGACGCTATTTCCCAAAGTAGTACGCCGAAAGCTGAAACATTCAGTAAAACAGTTACAAAATGTGTTCAATGAGTATTGCAACAGTTCAGATATAAATATTGAGAAACCAATCGACGACTTAATGAACCAAATGGAGATGCTCCATAAACAGCTTTTACTTTCAGTAAAGTTCATCGGACCAGCTTTTATGTAGAAGATAAACAGCTGAATATTGCATCCAGAGATTTTGTGAAACAAATGGAGACACTGGTATACAACACAGTTGCTTATCTGGTATACAACACATTTGAAAAAAAATTAAACCAACACGTAGTTTTGACTTTATATTTCGTTTGTTTGATTGATCAAACAACGCAGGGAAACATATCGCATACTATAGATTTCTTTTAAAATAAAGCACTGAAACATATTGAACACATGTGTTTAACTTTCAGTAGAACTTGTCACATAGTTCACAATGGGAACAGATGGATAAAAAATCAAGATCACAGAAGAAACAGGCAGTAGATTGAACATATCTCACCCCATACGTCACTTTTAGTTGAGAATTTATTGAAGGCGAGACTCTCTGGAGCTGTCCACTTGATTGGGAACTTGGCTCCCTCTCTGGCCTGGTAGCACTCCTCCGCCTCCCCAATCAACCTCGAGAGACCAAAGTCAGCCACCTTTACGATATCACCATCGCCTACAAGACAGTTCCTGGCTGCAAGGTCCCTGGAGCACAAACAACAATACATTAGTTTCTACACAACATATTCATATATACATTCGATTGAATTTTGAAGTGTATCTATATACAATCATCAATATCCAAAACCTCCTTTTGCATTTGACTGCATTCAAATGAAAAAAGCTTCATGATGAGAAATTTTTGGCAAAGCGGCACTTAAAACGGCTACTTGATAAATTTTATTTCTACAACACGCAAGGATAGACAGGAACAGTAGCGTGCCGCCTCATCCCTCAATTCTGGTTGCAAAACTTTTCCAATTGGTCCTCCCTCTGGTAAAATTTTACATCCAATTTTGGCTGGCCAACCTCAAACTTTTATAAAGGCGCCTTTGGCGACAATATAAACAAAATTGACGAGGGAGTGTGGGCCGAAAAAAGCAATTTTTTGGTGAACTTCTTAGCCTTTTTTCAAAAAATTGCCAGCAGAGCAGAAAATTTTTGACAAAATCGGGTTTTTATAGTATTTCCGGAGAGCTCGGAAAATCAAATTGGTCAACCTAGAAGAAAGGTAGACAAAAGTTTCATTTTTTTTCGAAAAACCGCCTAGTCTGGTTTTCAGAAGGAGATCATAAGGTATTCGAAAAAACACTTCACTTCTTTAAGAAATTGTTTTCTTTCACCACATTCAGCAAGGGTTACTATTATCTAATTGCGAGATCATTTCAATTCAACTGGCGTGTAACGCACCTCTGGTGCTTCGAATTTTTGAGAACTCATAAAAAACCGCATATATTGAAAAAAGATCTCGTACCTTTGAGTGCACTATGACACTACCCAATAACAGGGTTCATTTTTTCAAAAATAAGTTTTTTTCTATGAGTTAAAATCAATTTTTGAAAAAGCAATTAAATTTTTACATCTAAGTTTTTGACAAAAAACGGCCCATCTTAGAAACTGAAAGCATTTGAGCCGTCGCATTTGGATGCTAAAAGTGCAACTCCTAAGATTACTCTCACAGAACCCAAATACATGGTTAGAAAATTCAAATTTGGAGAGAAGTTTGTATTTGTAGTTTCGAAAAAAAAATGAAAAACCATAAAAACCTCACATCTGGAATATTAAAAAGTCCTGGGCAGTCATCTGGGGCGGCGAGATTCTCAACCCCTCGAGAACACTGGCAGCCCAGATTTCACGTGATATCTTGTAAACTACAAAGATTTGAACATTCATAATTGGAAGAGAGATTCGCAACCCACGATAGTATTCTGACAGCCACCAAATAGTGTTGGGAATTTCAAAATTTGACAAAAAATTTTAAATTTCAGATTTCTGAGTTTATTTTGGAATATCACAAAACGTCATATCTCGAAAACTGAGAGCAATTGAGCAGTCGCATTTGGGCTTAAGATTTATATCTTGAAACTCCTGAGAGTACCTTCACAGTCCCCAACTACAAGATAAAGAATTTCAAATCTTTTTGAATTTTTTAAAATCTAAGTTTTCTGAAAAATTAGAAAGAAATCATACAACATCTCATATCTCGAAACCCACAAGGATTTAAGCAGTCACAATTGGAAGCAATATTCGCAATCCTTGGGAGTATTCTAACAGCACCCAATTACAGGTTTGCGAATTTCAAGTTTTTGTAAATTATTTTATAAGCTTAGTTTTCTGAAAATCTTAGAAAAAATCACAAAAAAATCGTCTCATCTCGTACACTAAAAAGATTTAGGCATTCTTAATAACAAAACAAATTCGCAACCCCTGGAGCAACTCTGACAGCATCACAATTTTGTGTCGCTAACTCTCAACTCGGTGGAACAAACACTAGATTCAAACTGGAAAATCGAAAAAAAATCTTACGCATTGCAAAATACGATATAGCTTAACCACGCATACATACGTTATGCCTTTAACTGTTCTAAAAAACGCTTAAGCATGACAAGATACGTGTCACGCACAAAAAAGATACGTGTAACACAGAGGCGAAGTTGCACTTCGCATACCCAAGCAAAAATATTACCGATTACACTACTGGGAAAAATTGAATAAATAAAAGTTTGAGTCTACAAAAATTTTGAAGTGATCAAAATGAGCAGTTTCAAAATGAACACTATTTATCGCAACAAAATTTGCGTCGCAACATTATTTGAGACTTGCTTGTGTAAATATAGTATAGATAGATATAGATGAAGATATGTAATATTTCAATACACCGACTACCGTTCCTGCCATTTACATTCAATACAGAGGCGAAGCGGAGCATCATTTGCGATATAACGAAAGCGTAGCATTGCCTGCTAACAAAAAGGCAGTGAGAGGGAAACAACTAAAAACAAAAAATCAATCTCAAAAAAATGCGAAAAACACAACCACTAACATTATACAATCTTTAAGTATTTACCGAGCATTCACTAAGCTGTGGTTAGACAAAAATTGATCCTAAAACGAAAAAAATCCCAAAGAAATTGTCACAAAAAAAATAAATCAGTGAGTTCGGCCAATAACATTCTCGCCTCCCATAATCACACTTCAAGTACCCCACAACAACCACAAACTACAGCGGCTGGAAACGCCGCACACCACGTGTAACACAGATGCAAAGCTGCGCTAGCCAAACACTTGCGAGAACACGACCAAAAAGCAGCTCTATCAAGTGAAATAGAAAAAAGTAGAACTAGGCTTCGAAAAAAAGAAAATTTGGCTACGTGTCGGATTCGAATTTGCGACCTAGTAAATTTGAGTCTCATGCACTAACTACTCAGGCACGGATGCTTAAGTTCCCAAAAACTAGCCACCAATAACGCAGCTACATATGCTAATCAATTGCCAATTCGATGCGGCACAAGTATCACCAAATACAAGAAGACACAATTTTGCATGTAATAAAATGGAAAGCATAAAATTAAATTAAGTATAAATTATGCATTTCAAAAACATTGTGTTGAAAAATTTCTGAAGTCGAGCTTTTTATCACTGTACTGCTGCTTGAAACAGATAACCTCTATCGGTTCATGTGATAAACTGAGAATGCATCAGCTATGCTAACTTTTACTAATCAAATGCCAAAGCACATATAATATTATACTGCTACTGCAGCCTATCGATTCAAAAGTGCCACCAAAAAAGCACTCTTATTTCCGACTAAGGTTGGAAGAAAAATAAAGTTGATACCAATATATTTGCTTTGCAATTATAAAAGACAGAACAGAGCAGCAGTCAAGATGAAGGCATTGATGTAAATTATAAACAAAAAGATTAAAGTGCTTAAATTTGTAACTTTCATACTATAACCTTAGCTGATTTATTCAAAATAAAAATGATCAATTTCTATCCTTAAACCTAAGCAAAATAAGCACACTAAACCGACAAAACATGAGCTGAAATTATTTATGCCGCATAAATTTTCTCACCGAAAAAGAATCAAAAATGGTACCAGTCAGGGAAAGTTAACTAAAAACATAGCTAATTGACAGTTGAAAAAGTAGAAATAATCCTCAAATTATTAAAACTTCGGCTACGTATCGGATTCGCTCTTCGACCTAGAGATTAATAGTCTCACGAACTAACCACTCAGCCACGGACGCTTATTCAATCACAAACAATAGTCACAAAGAAAGCAGAGAACAGATGCTATAAAATTTCCAATGCTAAAGATCGTGATTATAGCAAAAATGCCACAAATAATGGAAAACTTATAATGAATACTTTTATTCGCGATTTAGGTTAGAAAAAAAAGTCCGTACTAATACATGAAAGCTCGCAGGCTCCAAGGTGTAGTTAAACCTGAATTCGGAAAAGTTAAATGAATCTTTTATGTTCGACAATTTTTTCCATAAAACTAACATAATCAGAGAAACCTGCGTCAATGAAAACTTTTTCTATTCCACTAGAATTTCAAGAAGCAGACACTCAAAAACACAGACCTGAATACGTAAACATCAACATCAGACAAAAACAACAAAAAACCGCCACCTTCAATAAGTAATTGACAACTCACTCAGGGGCGGATTTTTTTCGGAGGGGGGGGGGGGGGGGACGCCTCTCTTCTCAGGGATTCGACCCCCTGCCAACCCAAAGGGTCCCCCCTTTGGTACTTTTTAGGAAATCCATTTTCGGCCGACGAACCTAAAATTTTTCTAGAGGCGCCAGTATACACTAACTTTGAGGGGGAGCGAGCGCCAAAAAAAACGCGACTTTTTTGTCAAACGTTTCCAAAAGGGCTTTTTTGACCTGTTTTTTTGCGGCTTTTTTGACCTGTTTTTTTGCGGCGCAGAAAATTTGGCTAAAACAGCGCCTTTTTACTGCTTTAGGAGGGCTCTGAAAATCAATTTGGTCCACCTAAAAAAAAGGTCGTCAAAACTTTTTGAAAAATCCCCCTCCCCCCTCGAGAAAATCCTAGATCCGCCCCTGATTACCCTTCTTTTCAGCAAATTCAACTGAATTTAACTAACATAGAAATCAAAAGTGAAACCGTGAAAACTAAATTTGATAGAAAAAACTTAAAAATGTTTTCGAGAGAGAAAAAAACTACTAGTAGTATCTGCGTTAACATAAATTTTTGATAAATCACTTCCAATAAAACTGTTTGACACTCACAATAACATCTAAGCGATAGCACTACATGTAATTTAGCAATCTTAGAGACCAGACTGACATGTAGTTTATAACTGAGTTTAGTTTAAACATGCAACAGACTTAATAAATTGTCTGCTTACCTTTATCAACATATGTCCTACCATTAAAATTATAAGACTTTGAGCCTATTTTTCATTTAGTGTCAAAAATTTAGTCTCCGATATTGTCATCGGAACGAACGGAGACAAACGACCAGTAGCATGATCTTCGAAGGCAGAGAAATTGTAACAAAAACAAATATACTAAAGCGACCAGAGACAAGGAGAGTGTTGGTTCATTGTATGTACAACATTTACTCAACCAGGTAGCAAAATGCGCAACCACCTTGCGTTTGTTTTCATTTACAGTAAAAGTACGAACAAGCGATTCAAGGGGAGAAAAACAGAGGATATCTTGAATTAAGG